TCAGCCTCTCTGCTCCTATGATGCTGCTTGGCCTGCTGTGTTCATCCAGCCCTACACCTCTGCAGCTGAATCAGCAGAAGAGCGAATCTCCGGCGCACAGACCTCGGAGAGTTTAACAGTTACTGAGGAGAAAAACTACAACTAAATCCCTGGGTACCGGAACAAAGGCTGAAAGGAGGGAAAATTACATCCTTCCACATGTACATTTGGAGATATTTCTGGCCTGTGACTGTATGGATGCGAATATTGAGTCAGAGAGACTATAGGAAAAGGGCGGGCGGGTTAGTCAAACGTAAATGTGTTTGTGTGTCCGCTCACATCATGATATTTCCGCGTCTCTCTTGTGCAACTCAAAAAAGATTTTCATTTCAACTTATCCCTCTACTCCCCCACTAAACCCCAAAGAGAGAATTCAAGGCAATACATTTGTTGATTTCAAGATTTCAATGTAAAAGTGACGACAATGCCAGCGTTCAGTTCAGAGAGCGCGGTCAGTGCAGCAGCAAAATGCGTTAAAATCGACAACGGAGCTGTCAATTAGAGTGAAAACTTTTCGGCCGCAAACCTTCCCGTGTCAGGGTCAGGAACGATCGAGCTTGGCTCTCTGGAGATGCGGAATTGAAGAGGAATTGGAGAGTTAGGGCCGAGAGAGAAACACAGAGAGGCAGCAGGAGCAGGGAGCTGAGGGCAGGTTGTCTCCGCGCCGTCCCCTCGCTGCCTTTAAGTTGCTCAGTGCCGCCACCAGCAGCTTCATTGCTGACCCAGTTCAGTCTGACAGAGAGAGATTCAGCGCAGAGTTCCCGACATGAGCGACAGTGCAAACGCCGAAACGGCTCCTCCAGCCTCCGCCAGCACCAAACCCAAGACTCCCAAGAAGAAGAAGGCGGCGGCTCCCAGGAAAGAACCAGCCGGTCCCGGGTTGGGCGATCGGATTGTGAAGATTGTCGGGGAGAGCAGCGATCGGAAGGGGACGTCTCTGGCCGCTATAAAGAAGGCGCTGCAGAGAAGCGGGGTCAATGTGGAGAAGCAAAATGCACAAATCAGGCTGGCTATCAAGAGGTGTCTGGCGAAAGGCTCCCTGGTTCTGGTCAAGGGCCAGGGGTCCCCGGCTCCTTTAAACTCCCTAAGAATCCAGTCAAGGCAAAAGTGGGAAAGAAGGCGAGAACAGCAGCAGCCGCCAAGAAACCAACCGTGAAGAAAACAACGGCCAAGTAGGTGACAGCGAAGAAATCCCCAGCCAAGAAAGCGGCCGGCAAGAAGGCAGCAACGCCTAAGAAAAAGACTCCAGTGAAGACGGTGAAAAAGACCAAGAGCCTCAAGGCCGCAAAACCGGTCCCGAAATCCGGGAAACCGAAGGCCAAGCCCAAATCGAAAGTGTCCAACAAAGCAGCAAAGAAATGAAGCAGTCGGTGCAACATGCAACCACCTGGGCCCAAAGGCTTTTGTCAGAGCCACCCACATCTCTCAGGAAAGAGCTGAGCTCGAATCAAATGATCCTGTCCGAGCTCCTAGTGCAGGGATAAATTGCATATTAATTGATGTGAATAGCTCGTCCGCATTTCTCCACCGGATTTACACCCAGTCCCTCCCACACTCGTAACACCTGCCTAGAAACCCTGCTTCACAACTCAATCCCCCAACAATGATTTTTTCTCTTTTAGCTGAAGGAATAGAAACTGACATTGAAATGGAAGCAACCGTGTTGTCTTGTTAAGGCCGGGAAATGGTCATTTAATCGTATCACAAGTGTTTTATAAGCTCCTGTTTTTATTATCTTTGACCATGAAGCTCGAGTCTGCAGATTTTCTGCTGATCATTGTGTTCACTGCCCTTATGGAGAAAAGGTTTAGTTACAGATCCAGTTGGCGGCTGGAGTTAGCTGGAGGCGGAGCTGGACACTTCTCTGCTGTCACTCAGTTTCCTCTCGGGGCTGCCTCTCACTCTCTGTCAGCTCTTTCTCAGTCAGGTCGGGGCGGGCTGTATAAAAAAGGAAGGTGAGGCAGCTCGGCTTTCATTCGGCAGCGATTGGAGTGAAGAAGCGTGATGTCTGGTAGAGGCAAAGGAGGCAAAGGCCTGGGAAAAGGCGGAGCGAAGCGGCACCGCAAAGTGCTCCGTGATAATATCCAGGGTATCACAAAACCAGCCATCCGACGCCTGGCTCGCCGTGGTGGGGTCAAGCGCATCTCGGGCTTGATCTACGAGGAGACCCGCGGGGTGCTGAAGGTTTTCCTGGAGAATGTGATCAGGGATGCGGTCACCTACACTGAGCACGCCAAGCGCAAGACGGTCACTGCCATGGATGTGGTGTACGCTCTGAAACGCCAGGGCCGCACTCTCTATGGATTCGGCGGCTGAGCAAATGGACCCTTTTCCAGCGAACCCAAAGGCTCTTTTCAGAGCCACCCAAAGCCTCCGATTGAGAGCGGAGACCCGAGGACGGGGAAAGGCAGCACATCGGGAAGGTGTAGTGTACTACAGCTCGTTATCTCACATTGCGAGTTGTAATTCTGCCCAGATGTTAAATGTTACATATTCCAGTATTTCTATTTCCATTTCATTAACCCTTCCAGGAATGATATTTGACTCTGGACGCCTGCAGATATTTTAATAGCGTGTTCTTTCCATCTGGCTGCTAAACGTCGGAACAACACCTCATTTTCCGCTTGGGGACCCTACAGCCCTCCGGACTCAATATTGAGTTCAATAATTTTAGGGACTAAACTCTCCCATGTCCCAGCCCCCCACCCCACACACCAGGCCTTGTTACCACATAGCCTGCCACTACGCACCCCCTGTTGTTAGTCACTAACAGTCCCCATTAACAACTATTCACCCTCCCAGCCTGATCATTAGCAACTCCTTTGTCCAACTGTCTTTCTCTCTCTTTGGACTCTATCCTATCGTTTACTCCCTACCCCACCCACCTCCCTATTTTCTGCATATAAACTGACGTTTTCCCAGCCCCCATCAGTTCTGAGGAAGGTTCACCGGACCCGAAACGTTAACTCTGTTTTCTCCTCCACAGATGCTGCCAGACCTGCTGAGCTTTTCCAGCAACTTTGTTTTTGTAGCAATGACAAATTGTTTTCGGACTAATTATAAACTGGGTGAAATAAAAATGTGCCGATAAATTGAGATTGCGTAACTTTATTAGTGTACACTATATTTGTTTTTATTATGTTTAAATCGGCGGGATTCTTTAGATTCTTCAACGGCCGGTTGATCAGTTTGTCTGGGCTGTATTAAACGCCGCGCTTTCCTCCTGCCTGTTACAGACAGATCAGGCAAATATCCCGTGTCGTGTCCACGCTGACTGCAAGCTAGGTTTTTTAAAAATCCTACAAAGTACAAGATTTTATCGCAGTCGGACTTCATTTTGCCTTTAAATATTTAACTTAATCTCAGGATTGCGAGGGTAAAATTGGCGGGCTATTTGAAATTGACCAACTGTCATTTCAAGTTAACCAATCAGCTTCCAACAATTATTTTACTGCCTTTTCTGTAGCTTCCGGAGCTGCTTCTCGGTGGGTTGAGGGACGGAACTGTATCCAATCCCAGCTCGAGGGCGGGCTCTCCATTGTCTTAACTATTCAGCACCGCAGCAGGCTCAGCATTGCTAGCAGCAGCCTGTAAGCGTGTTACAGAGATTTAAAGAGAATGGCCAGAACCAAGCAGACAGCGCGCAAATCCACCAGAGGGAAAAGCTCCCCGCAAGCAGCTGGCGACCAAAGCGGCCCGCAAGAGCGCTCCGGCCACGGGCGGAGTGAAGAAGCCTCATCGCTCTTGACCCAGCACGGTGGCTCTGCGGGAGACCCGCCGCTACCAGAAATCCACCGAGCTACTGATCCGCAAACTGCCCTTACAGCGCCTGGTGCGGGAGATCGCTCAGGACTTCAAGACCGATCTGCGCTTCCAGAGCTCGGCTGTGATGGCCCTGCAGGAGGCCAGCGAGGCTTACCTGGTAGGGCTGTTTGAGGACACCAACCCGTGTGCCATCCATGCCAAGTGAGTCACCATCATGCCCAAAGACATCCAGCTGGCCCGCCGGATCCGCGGGGAGCGCGCCTAAACGGAGCGTGCCCAGGCCTCCACGTTAACCCCGAGAAACCCAACGGCTCTTTTCAGAGCCACTCAACCATCCAGAGAGCCGAACTGACCGTGACGTGCGTTTCTTTGTTATATTTATGTCTTGTTATTGCACCGCGTTAATTCCGCTGTAATTGCAGGAGCTGCATCTGACTGAGAAACCAGGGTGTAGGACTGATACTTTTGTATGACAGAAATAGAAAGTCAGGAAGCGGCAGTGAAATTACGAATTTACATTTCAAGTGATCACGGAACATAATTGAAGTACCGGCTCCCTGCATGCAGGAGTTTAGAAATTCGAGGTAAAACCTCTCTTCTCTTTACCTCCCTTGGCATTTCCGCCACCTCTCCTTCCAGCCTCCCGTTTGTTTACCTTGGATTCCAGCATCTGCAGTTTCTTTTGTCTGTAACTGTGACCATGGCTGAGAAGGAGGGTGGGGAAAATAGCGCCGAATCATTAAAAGCTTTCATTCAAATTTGAAAATCCTAACAACATGTACAAAGCACGAGGTGGTTTTACGCAGAAGAATGCGAGTGTACTTACTAGTTGATTTGATTTGAGATTACAAAATGTGTAGTTCACCCAATAGGATTCTCTCATTCCACAAGGGTCTCTCCGTCCCTCTCGCCACAACGAATTTGTAGAATCTCTACGGATTGTCGTTACCGCTATCTCATATCCCCTCTTTGCCCTCCTGATCTCCCTCTTCAGATTGCACCTACACTTTTTTTTAAAAGCTGTCCGAGATTAATTTAAACCCCATTTTCTATAACTAGTATCCTTTTTTTCTATTTTCATCTTTGAACCTAAATAACCTTATTCAACCATTGTTCATTAATCCTACTTTGGCTTTTCGGAATTTTGGTTCAGATTCTAGCAGTCAAAAACGGTCTCTTCCTGCTGTGTTGGGATTCCATGAACGTGCTTCCTGGTGGGTGTATTGATAGGGACACCGTTTTTTCACTACTTTTGTAAATCCTCTCTCCCTTATTCCAAAAGGTCCACAACACCTTACTGCTGTAACTGTTTAAGAGATTTCTTAAAAGTTGTCCAGTGAAAATACGAGTTGAAATTAGAAAAAGGAAATGAATGATCACTTTGGTGCGATTGTATTAATAGGCCCCACAATCGTCAGTTGGGAATTGAGAAACGGAAATGTAGAGAGACCTCAAACATATGTAAGGATAATAAGGCTGTAACGGGGATTTCAATCTGCCAAACGTTGAGCGTGACTATTATAGTGTCAAAGGATTGGATAGTGAAGAACTTGCTAATTGTGTTCAAGAAAATTTTCTTTCTCCTGGTGGAGACAAGAAAAAAAATAACCTTTTCTTCAGTAAAAACCGAAAGAACTGCAGATGCTGTAAACCAGGTACCAAAACAAAGTTGCTGGAAAAGCTCAGCAGGTCTGGCAGCATCTGTGAAGGAGAAAACAGTTAACGTTGCGGATCCGGTGACCCTTCCTCAGAACTGATGGTAGTTGGGAAAACTTCAATTTATATGCAGAAAATAAAGAGGTGGGTGAGCTAGGGAATAAACGATAGGATACAGCCCAAAGAAAGAGAGACAGCTGGACAGACAAAGGAGTTGCTAACGATCAGACTGGGAGGGTGAATAGTTGTTAATGGGGACTGTTTGTGACTAACAACAACCTTTTCTTCAGTAATTGGGCAGGGCTAGTGATTGATGTGATTAGTGCGGGAACACTTTGGGTCTAAGATTTGTAATTCTATTAGTTTTAAACTAGTCATTGAAAAAAAAGTAATCCTTCAATGACAGTTCAAGTTTTTAATTGAAGTAAGGCAAATATTAATGGTATGAGACAACAATCATAGAATAGAAGCCCTGAAGTGTGAAAACAGGCCATTCAGCCCAACAAGTCCACACCACCCTCTGAAGAGCATCCCACCCAGGCCCATTCCTCTATCTAACCCACATATCCCAGGGACACTATGGACAATTTAGCATGGCAATCCACCTACCCGGCACGTCTTTGGACTGTGGGAGAAAACCTGAGCACCTAGAGGAAACCCACACAGACATGGAGAACGTGCCAACTCCGCACACAGTCACCCAAGGCTGGAATCAAACCCGGGTTGCTGGCACTGTGAGGCAGCAGTGCTAACCACTGAGCCACTGTACTGCCCGTTTGTAGTACACTGTTCACAGGTGAAGGGATGTCTGATAAATGGAAGGCTTTCACAAGTGTCATTTGAAAGTTCAGAGTTATTATGTTCCTGTGAGTGAAAGTTGTGGCTGGAGGATTAAGGAACAATGGATGAATGAAGATACTGAGGTTCGAGTTGAGAATACAAAAGAAATCCTTGTTGATACAGACAACTGGGGTCAAATGAGTGTAGAGACAGGGAAAAAACAACTTTTTTTCCAGTAATAGGGCAGGGCTAGTTACTGATGTGATAGTGAGGGAACTCTGTAGAGTATAGGGGCATTCTGAAGAGATCAGGAGGCAAAGAGGGGATTCAAGATGGCTTTGGCAATAAGGTTAAGGATAATCCAGAGATTCTGCAAGATCAGTAAAAGCAAACAAGTGACTAGAGAGAGTAGTGTCCTTAAAAATCAAAGAGATAGTCTTTGTATTGAACCTCAGAAGACAGGAGTGATAGAAAACAAATATAATAAATGCTGAGGGAGAGAAATAGAAGCTAGAGAACTTGGGAAATAAATATTGATATTTTGATAACAGGTGACATTACAGAAGGGGGTCTGGAGATCTTAAAGTGTAGAGTTGAATAAATCTCCAGGATCTGATAGTGTATCCGAGGTTATTGTAGGAAGCTAAGGAGGAAATTGCAGAACCCCTTGCAGCAATATTTGTATCAGGTAATACTACAGTGGGGTGCTGCATGACTGGAGGTTGGCTTATGAGCCTTTCTTTTAAAGAAGGGATGTAAGGAGAAGCTTTGGAAGTATAGGCCTGTGAGTCTGAATTATGTGGTGGGTACGTTGTTGGTGGTGATTCCAAAAGATAGCATTCATACGTGTGGGGTGGGTGGGGGTTTTCAAGGAATGATTAGGGATCGTCAACATGGTTTTGTGAGAGGAAATCCTATCTCAAAAGTTGATTGAATTATTTTTGCGTTAGTATCCAAGATGATTGAGAGCAGAGCAGTAGACATTGTTTACTTGGACTTTAGCAAAGTGTAGGTTTTACCGCTACCTGTCCATACAAAGTGACCTGTACCTGCATACACCAAACATAATAGTACCTTGGAACAAAGCTACCTAATATTTGTACAAAAGGCCCTGTAACCCATCATCCGAGACAGTTTTGATAAGAGGTTGCTTAAGAATGGACAAATGACCCCAGTCCCATTAATGCAAGGATGTTGCTCCACTAAAGATATAGCACCAGGGGTCTAAATCTTAGCTTAGATTAACTCCTGAAACAGCTGCAAGAAAGAACAACAGCTAAATATACTTTGCAGTAATTTAGCTTTTTAAAACTGATAGTATTAAGAAAAATGTTCTATTTAAAGAATTATTCTGATAATCACGGAAGTAGGTTTCAAAATATAACCAGAAGATAATACAAGCAGTAGGGGAAAGAGCATTTAAACCCAGAAGTGAAAGTTTAGCTTTAGGACATGCCTTATCTCACACCCTGAACATGATAGATTGGTCCAAGTCATGAGCTACAAAGTGCTAGCAGCAAAAGTAGCTGTAGAACTTTACACTTTATGACTAATCTTATAACAGGAATTAATCATGTAGCTATTACTTAAAAATAACTGCCTTATATATACAGGATGGTGGGAAATAGAAAAGGATTGATTAAATTTGAAAAAGTGACACGCATAATGCCAACAGTAACAAGATTCAAACAGCTGTAAGAGATATATTCAAAAAAAAACGTCAAGGACAGGCCAGAAGGAGTATAACTAATAACTTATGGAATGTCAATTAATAGGATTCACAGAAAGATCCCAAGGCCCAGTGATGCCAATGTAGAGAAACATTGAGATCATGAGAACCTGGGGCTGTCCCTAGGAATGTCCATGATTGATTAGTTGTCCCATGGGATTGGGTATTCTGGTTAGAGAGGAAGGACAGTGACTACTTTGCATTCGATTATTGTAACGTGTATAAAAATGCTGCACTTCCTTGTAAAATCAGTGTGTCATTGATCTCTCTTCCAATCTGAGCTGTAGATTAAGGCAAAAATTGCCTTCTCACATTGAGGCAGATTCGGAAAGATGCTTTGGCTCTCTGCCTGCTTTAACTGGTTTCTTCTTCAATAAACATCTACTCGCCCGAATCCTGCCTGCCTCCTGAAGTTTTGGCTCTCGCTGGGGTTGGCGTGGGACGGGGTGGGTGGGTGACGGTGACGTGCAGCATGGCAATGGGGAGGAGTACGCTCCTACACAAAGTCTTTAAGGTTCTGTGTGGCAGACTAAATAGTAAGGTTAGATTGCATGGGACTCAGTGAGCCTGCGAATTGGATATAAAACTGGCTTGATGGCAGGAGACGGGGTGGAAAGTTACTTTTTGGAATGGAGGCCTGTTACTAACGGTGTTCCATTCCGATTTGTACTGGGTCCCCTTTTTGTTTATCTTTTATATAAATGATTCAGATGAGAATTTAGAAGGCATGGTTAGTAATTTTGTAGATGTCACCAAAATTAGTGGCACAGTGGACAGCGAAGAAGGTTATCTAAGATTACAAAGATCCTGATCAATTGAGTCAATGGCCTGAGGAGTGGCAGATGGAGTTATTGAGGCTTGTATTTTTGAAAAACCGATAGGGGCAGGGCTTGTACAATTACAAGAAGGGCCTTGGGTAGTGTTGTGGAACAGAGAGACCTAATGGGTCAAGTATATAATTCTTTGAAGTTTGCATCAGATGTAGACTATGTGGTGCCTGGCTTCATTACTAAGACCTTTTGGAACATAGAACAGTACAGCACAGTACAGGTCCTTTGTCACACAATGTTGTGCCATCCTATTATCCTAATCAAAGATCAAACTACCGTTCATACCCTACATTTTACTAACATCCACATGCCTTTCCAAGATTTGCTTTAATGTACCTGAATCCACTACCATCACCAGCAGCATATTCCACACACCCACCACTCCCTCTGTAACCTACCTCTGACATCGCTCCATACTTTCCTCCAATCACCTTAAAATTATGCCTCCTTGTAATAGTCATTTCCACCCTGGGGGGGAAAAAAGTCACTGGCTATCCGCTCTACCTATGTCTCTCATCATCTCGTACACATTTATCAGATCACATCTCATCCTCCTTTGCTCTAATGAGAAACCCCCTAGCTCCCTCAACCTTTCCTCATAAGACCTATCCTCCAGTCCAGGCAGCATCCTGGTAAATCTTTGCACCTTCTCTAAAGCTTGTGCATCCTTCCTATAATGAGCCGAGCAGAACTGAAAACAATATTCCAAGTGTGGCCTAACCAGGGTTTTATAGAGCTGCAGCTTAATTCTCAACTCTTATTCTTACTTCCCCTACCAATGAAAGCCAACACATCATTCGCCTTCTTAACAACCCTATCAACTTGGGTAGCAACTTTGGGGGATCTATGAATGTGGACCCCAAGATCCCTGTTCCTCCACACTGCCAAGAATTTGACTTTCCAAAATGAATTACTTCACACTTTTCCGGGTTGAATTCCATCTGCCACTTCTTTGCCCAGCTCTGCATCCTGTCAATGTCCCATTGCAACCTACAACAGCCCTTCACACTATCCACAACTCCACCAACCTCCGTATCTTTGGCAATCTTACTAACCCACCTTTCCACTTCCTCATCCAAGTCACTTATAAAGATCACAAAGAGCAGAGACCCGGAACAGATCCCTGCGGAACACTGGTCACTGAGCTCCAAGCTGAAAACTTTCCATCTGCTACCACCCTCTGTCTTCCATTAGACCGCCAAGTTTGTATCCAGACAGCCAAATTTCCTTGAATCCCATGCCTTCTTACTTTCCAAATGAGCATACCATGGGGAACCTTATCAAATGCCTTGCTAAGATCCATATACACCACATCCACTGCTCAACATTCATCAATGTGTTTTGTCACATCCTCAAAGAATTGAGTATTGGAGTTGGAACAGGATGTTGAGGTTGTACAGGACGTTATTGAGACCTCTTCTGAAGTACTATCTCGAGTTCTGGTCACCCTGTTACCAGAAGGATACTATTGAGCTGGAGAGGCTTCAGAAAAGATTTACCAGGATGTTGCTGGAAATGGAGGGTTTGAGTTAGGACAGCCTGAATAGGCTGGGACTTTGTTTTTCCCCCTGGAGGGGTGACCTTATAGAAGTTTTAAAATCATGATGAGTATAGGTAAGCTGAATGTTAGGTATCTTTTTCTCATAGGGTGGGGGAACTTTTCGACTGGGGACCATATTTTTAAGGTAAGAGAAGGAAGATTTAAAAACAATTTATTTTAAGTGTGATTTGTGTGTAGAATGAATGTGCAAAGGAACTGATGGATTATGGATACCGTCACAATGTTTAAAAGACATCTGGATAAGTACATGATTAGGGAAGTTTTGGAGGGTTATGGGCCAAGATCAGGCAGGTGGGGCTAGTTTAATTTGAGATAATGGTCAGCATGGACTGGTTGGGCCAAAGGGTCTGTTTCTGTGCTGTTTGACTCTGAGTTGCAGTCAGGCAGCTGTTCTGGTTTTATCTTGGTTTATTTTGAAAGCTTCTAATAAACAGCAGAAAGCCTTGCTGACAGCATTCTGCAATCGGACAAAACCCCTAGGTGTTGTGAAAGTTAAGAAATAAGCGTAAAATGTATCTATTCGTGGGATTTAAAGTTTGGGCACTTCTTTTGTTTGCCAGGGGTCAAACTCAAGTCACAGCCCAATGGGGCTTGTAGCTCCCTAACTGATCGACTATTAAAGAGCAAATTGAACCAATAAAAGTGGCGGAAAATGATTGTGGCCTTTATAATGCCCCCTCTCGACGGACATGAAAGAGGAGCCTGTTCACGAAAGCACTCGAATAAAGCGTAGAGGTGAAGTTGAGCGTGACCACTCATCATTAAAACTGAATGTACTTGCTACATTGGGTCTTCCTAAATGCCATCAAAGGAAATATGAAACTGGCGAGACCGAGAGATACATTTATAGGACGATGATTAAAGTCAGAGGCCGTTACACAGCAGGAATAAATAATGCAATCCTAACGCTATTACAATTGCGATTGACAAACGTTTCACTCACCATGGGCTTCCGTTCTTAACGTGACTGACTGTAGGCTGTTTGTAAAGATTTCATGTTAGATCATACACGCAGTGACAGTAAGAGTATCCAATAACAAAGGGACTGAAACTGACAACAATTAAAGCAATCAAGTCATTCCGACAGTGCAGAGGGATTAGTTTCTTTCACAGATGTTGTGGGTGGCCCTTAAAAGAGCCTTTGGGCTGTCAGTTTCAAGAACGGTCTTTTCACTTTTTAGTGGCGCCCCCAGCGGCAGTTTTCTTGGGCAGCAGCACGGCCTGGATATTAGGCAGCACCCCGCCCTGAGCGATGGTCACCCCTCCCAGCAGCTTGTTGAGCTCCTCGTCGTTGCGCACGGCCAGCTGGAGGTGCCTGGGAATGATGCGGGTTTTCTTGTTGTCCCGGGCCGCGTTACCGGCCAGCTCGAGGATTTCAGCCGTCAGGTACTCGAGTACCGCAGCCAGATAGACCGGCGCTCCGGCACCCACACGGTCAGCATAGTTACCCTTTCTTAGGAGCCTGTGAACACGGCCCACCGGGAACTGCAGGCCAGCCCGGGACGACCGGGACTTCGCCTTGGAGCGAGCTTTCCCACCAGCGCCCTTTCCTCTCCCAGACATGGCCACAAACTCACAAGCACTTTCACAGAGAATGGTGCAATGCGCCCACATTCTGTCTTCTTATACCTTCGGGAGGAATGGTGGTGCGGCCGTTGCTGATTGGTCACATTGTTCAGTATTTCCTAATATAGTTTCAATTTCCAACCAGATATCTGCTTCATTCACCAATCCGGAGAGGAGGCCGGAAAACAGCGGCGCCAAAATCATCAACCGCTTTCTTTCTGATTTGAAAAGGCCGGCAATATATACCGAAATGTAGGAAGTTTACCACAATAGAATGCACGATTACTCGTGTTAATTTACTCTTAGATTATGAAAGTATACTTTACATAATCTCCCTTCCCCTCATTCCCTAACCTCCTTGAATAAGTCAATTTCTTACCTTGAATCGGATTTTCTGAGCCTTAAACCAGCAGAAAAAACGGCGCCAAAATCTGCACTCTGGAACTGATCATTTATTTCGCATTTCAAAAACACCGATATATCGATAAAACAGTGGATAACGTTTTTTTTCCCCGAGTGAGCGCATTAATCGCGAACACCGTCTTTAGACAATATTTAAAAGCAGCCCTCCCGTATTGCACTCGATCTGAGGTTAGTAAAAGCTCCACATTTACTATGCAAGTCCGGCAGCAGTTCAGATTTTATCTCGGTTCATTTTGAAAGTCTCTCCCCACAGCAAAAAGCCTTATTTACAGCTTTCTGCAACCTGGCAAAAACCGCGTGGAGATTTTGAAATGAAAAAAAAATGAAACGTGACTCGAAGAAGCTTTTTCTTTGCTTACCGACGGGAGACGGGGGCACTTTTTTTTTTGCAGAGTGTAAGTTAGGGTTCATACCCAACCGGGTCTTGTAGCTTCTGAACTGATCGAGTGACAGAGGGTAACACGAACACACAGAAATTGCTGAAATTAACTCATTGGTGTTTAACATGATCCCTGTCTACAGGCAGCGATTACAGATGTATATGAACGCATCCGAGAATAAGCCGCGCATAAAATCTGCGATCACTCACTAATTTACAGAACATTTATAAAACACAATTATCGTAGATAGTAATATAATGGTTCAGCTGTTTTAGGGAAGTTGTGGGTGGCTCTGAAAAGAGCCGTTGGGTTTTGGATGTGTGTTTTTCAGCACAATGTGGTGCCTCACTTGGAGCTGGTGTACTTGGTCACCGCCTTTGTACCCTCCGACACAGCGTGCTTAGCCAGCTCCCCGGGCAGCAGCAGCCGCACGGCGGTCTGGATCTCCCGGGAGCTGATGGTGCTGCGCTTGTTGTAATGGGCCAGGCGGGAAGCTTCCCCCGCGATGCGCTCGAAAATATCGTTGACGAACGAGTTCATGATGCTCATGGCCTTGGAGGAAATGCCGGTGTCGGGGTGAACCTGCTTCATTACTTTGTAGATATAGATGGAGTAACTTTCTTTCCTGGACCTTCTTCTCTTCTTACCGCCTTTCGCTGGCGCCCTCTTCACCGCTTTCTTCGCACCCTTCTTGGCTACTTGTCCTTTCTTTTCCTCTACCATTGCGACAGACAATGTCCGACACAGAATAAGCGAAAGCAGCCTCGGAGCTCGCCTTTTGTAGCCTGACGGCGTCAGCAATGCTAATGAAGGATGGGGGAAAGCCTTATTCCTGATTGGGTAGTTTACAAGAATGTCAAACCATGACATTAGTCTCTCTGTGATTGGTTAGTGTGGGACACAACGTGGATCTGCCAGGATCTGCAATGAAATGTGAAACATCAACCGAAATTTTGTACACGGATCAAACTCCTAGCTCACTCTAAATTGTGAGATCCTAATTGCGATTTATTCTACATCTTTCGATAATGGTTTTCTTTCCTCTTCCATTTAAAAATTCTCATGACATTTGTTGTCAAGTGACAAAATGCACTGAAATCTGACAGTGAGTGTGCTTCACTCCTGGAAATGATGGAACTACTCGACAATTGCATCGTGCTTGAGGAAAATGGGGGTTAGGGAATGTTCTCTCTTGCTTGTTTTTCTTGCTCTACACTCTCTGAAGATTAAGGACATTCTACTAGCATCTGCTCTGTCAACTCCCTTCAGTTTTCATTTCCCCTAAAGGTTCGACGTCCTTCTTCAAATCTCCAATGAGTATATGCCCAAACTATTCATATTTTCCTCAGAATACCTGCCACTGTATGTCAACGTCAGGGTAACTCGGATTACCTCAATGACAGGGAAATGATGTACTGTCACCTGTGCCTTTGCTTTCTGCTGACTACACGAATTTTACTCTCTAACCATTAGGCTCTTCAATCAGTGTCACCAGTTTTCTGCCAACAATTCAGTTCCTGAAATCTTGCTTTGCAATGAATTAGTGTGGATATTATTTTGTACATTTCAGGTTTTAGCAATTTTTTTTTGTTACAAGCTTTGCTGTGTGGGTTTTCTCTGAACTTTATTTGTTGACACATCAGTTGAATTCACAGTGAACTGATTATTGTCATTTCAGGATATTTTAACATGACACCTTTTGTGAATTTTAATTATGACAATCTCATGTGTAGATGTGCATTTTTGTTTTATAACCATCAATGAGTCCCTGGTTACAGTGTGAATGATATTGTGTTGTTCAGAATTTCAGGTTGATTAAGGGTTAGTTTATCTCTCATTATTGGCTATGTAAAAACAGAACTGCAGTTATCAATCTGCCGTGTCAGCTTCCGCTAGATGAATGATTATTAGTCTCTCACAATCTGTCAGTCAGTTTCTGTTCACTGAATGTAACTGTGTAGTTATCAATCTGTACCTGTCAGTTAATTTGCCATGAAACTGGGTGTGTTATTATCAATTTGCTCCTGTCAGTTTCTGCACTGTGAACCTGAGTGCGTTTATTAATCTTTCTTGGACAGTTAGTGTTGTGTAAATGTATGAGTGTATTTACCAATCTGTCCCTGCCACTTTCCAAAATTTGAATGTGATTTTATTTATCAACCTCTTCCTGTCAGTTTTTTTTTAAAGCACTTTCAGTCTCTACCTGACAGTTTCTGCTATTTCAACATTTGAGTTTAGTTATTCATCTGTAATGCCAGTTTGTGCTTGGTGAATGTTTGAGCACAGTTATTCATCTGTACTTAATATTTTCTGATATCTGGAAGTGTAGTTATTAACCTGTTATGTTGGTTCATGAAATGTGAATGAGAGTGTGGCTATATGTGTCAGTTTCTGTCATGTGAACATTGGAGTATCATGAATCTATCCATGACTATTACCGCAATATGAGTGGTGTGACTGGTTATCAATATGTCCCTGTCAGTTTCTGCTGTGAGAAGATATGTGTTTAGTTATCCATCTAGTTTGTCAGTATCTGCAATGTCAATTTGTATGTTTAGTTATCGATTTATAACTCTCATTTTCTGCTCAATGAATGTGTGAGAGTGTGCATGTATAGTTATCAATATGTAGCTGTGAGATTCTGCACTGTTGATATGAATATAGTTATCAAACTGTATCTGCCAGTTCATGCTGTGTGACACTGGGAGGATTATTATCAAGCTGTTCCTGTCAGTTTCTGCTATATGGATATGTAAAGTTAGTAATCAATATGTACCTGTGAGAATCTGCTTGTGAATTTTGGAGTGTAGTTATCATACTGTACATGACAGTTTTTGTTTTAAATCTGTGGATACTTGAATACAGTTGTAAAATGGGACCTGTCAGGTTATGCTATGTGAAACTTGGAGTGTTATGAGCAATCTGTTCTTCTGTGTTTTTCTACTATGTGGATATGTGAGTGTAGTTATCATTCAGATCCTGTTAGTTTGATAAGTCAGTGTAATTATTAAAGTGTACCCATCAGTTTTGATTACGTGAATTTGTGAATGCTGTTATCAAACTTTACCTGTTAGTTTTGCTATGTCAATATGTGAGTGTCATCATCAATGTGTTTTTGCCTGTTTCTGCAATGTGAATGAGTGAGCAGAGGTATCAATACATGCTGGTCAGTTTCTATTTGTCAACGTGGCTTAACTCTCTGGCAGCCAGTAATATTCTCCGTGAGGGTCCGATTTGTTATGTGATAGTTGTTATTAGGGTGATTTAATGCAGATTACATTCAGTTCCTGACTGTATATTTTGGACGAGAATTCAGTCTATCCATCTTCAAAAATGGTGTAAATGTCAATGGGCTATGCATGGTGATATTTGTTCAAACTGGGCAGATGTGCATTGTGAATGGTGAAAAAAACAACAAACTTGTTGTTTGAGCATATTTCGCTGGAAATTGACCTCAATGTGTATTTGACTCAATCTGGTCTGTGACTGTGGGAAGGATGTTCTCTGCTCTGACAGTAGTAACATACCTGCTGTTTGTTAGAAGCAGCTGGTCACACCTGGCTTTGTACTGAGGAAATATTACTTTGTCTTAGTCCTTCAAGTATTTGCCTGGAGGAAGACAGAAGAGAAACCTCCTGTAAATCAATATCAGCCAAGTTTGATAATATTTAACTGATCAATGCAAAGTTCAGTTAATAATCATTACGATATTTTATTTCAAGCCAGGAATTTGAACAGAATTATGTGTCTGATTCCACTCTTGTTCTAAGCTGCTCCTTGTCTGGGGATTTTTCTTTTTGTTAATTCCATACCAGTTGAGTGAAGACCAGAAAGAAACCAACAAGTGTACAGCTCCATGAATGGGACTACCCAATACAAGCCGGTCTGTGGATATGAGTTTACTTATTGATCTATTCATGTCAGTTCCTACTTGGTGAATGATAACTACACTCATACAATCTAAACCTTTGTTAAATTACTTATGTATTCACACAGCAGAGACTGACAGGGACAGATTGATAGAGAACTATAAATCAAATGAAATGACATAGCGTTGAAGAGGGCGGTTTGACTTATCTTGTCCATTCAAACGCAAAGACAACCAGATGGCCATTCTAATCCCACTGTCCTGCACACAGCCCATAGCCCCACAGCTTAAAGCACTGTCAGTTTCTGTAATGTGAATGTATTGATCAATTTGTCATCTCAATCTCCATTTTGTGGATACATAAATGTAGTTATCAATTTGTACCTGTCAACTTTTTCTCTATGAATATCTGAATGTAGTTATCCATCTCTACCTGTGAAAATCCAAATACAGTTATTAATATGTACCTGTGAGTCTCTACAATTTGAATGTCCAAGTTTATTTGCCAGCCTGTCCCTGTCATTTTCTGTTCCATTCATCTGAGAGTGTGCCTGTCAGTTTCTGGTTTGTCAATGTGTGAATGCATTTATCAATATATACCTGTCAGTTTGAGCCAGTGTGATTGTATGAGTGCAGTTATTAATCCATGCCTGTCAGATTCTGCTATGTGATTGTGACCATCATTTTCAGTCTCTACCTGTCAGTTTTGTCATGTGAACAAGTGATTGTCAATCAATATGTCCCTGTCAGTTGCTGCAATGAGAATGTGTGACTGTGGTTATCAACCTGCATTAACCAAGCTGTCCATGCCACTTTCTGCTAATGTGAATACATGTGTGTAGTTACCAATCTGTCCCTGTCAGTTTCTGCGCTGAGAGTGTAGGTGTACTTGTCAATCTGTTCCTGTCAGTCTCTGCAATGTGCTTGTGTTAGTGTATTTATCAATCTTTCCCTATCAGTTTCTGCTCTCTGAATCGGAGTGTTTGTTTATCAATCTGTAACTGTTAGGTTTTGGTTTTGTAAATGTGTGAATGTATATATCGTTCTGTACCTGTCTGTTTTTGCTATGAGAGTGAGTGTGTTGTTATCAGTCTCTACCTGTCAGTTTCTGTTATGAGTTTATCTGGGAATTTAGGTTCGATCTGATCCTGTCAGACTTTGCTGTGTGAATCTGTAAATGTAGTTAACAGTTTTGCTTGCCGAATGTGTGTGTGTGTAATCGTTAGTCTATCCCTGATCAATTCCGCTTTGTCAGTAAGGAAGCAACTGGTCCTGTCAGTCTCTGCAATATGAATGTATGATGTATTTATCAATCTTTCTCTGTCAATTTCTACTCGGTGAATGTGAGAGTGTTATTATCAATATATACATGTGAGATTTGGCCCTGTGAATATTTGAGTGTCTTTATCAAATTTTGGATAAATGGTTGAGATGAATAACTACATTCAAATTTTGTCAGAAAATTTTCTCTGCATATGAGAGTGCATCTATCAGTTTCTGCAATGTGAATAAATGAGCGCAGGTTTGAATCTATGCCAATCAGTTTCTGCCAAATCAATATGTGAGTGCAGTTCTCTGTACCTGTCAGATCCTGCTGTGTGAAATTGAGTGTAGCTGTGAAATTGTATGAATGATTTCATGCTATGTGATGTGGAAGTGTTATTATCCATTTTTTCCTGTGAATTTGTTATGTGACTATGACAGCATAATTACCCTGTTAGTGTCTCCTCTATATATCTGAGAAAGTAGTTATTAATCTGTACCTGTCAGTTTTTGCTATTTGAAAAGGAGTGTAGATATCAACCAATACCTGGCAGTTTAAGCAATAAGAATGAGTGTTGTTATCAGTCTCTACCTTTCAGTTTCTGCAATTTCAATAGGAGTTTAGTTATCAATCCGTACCTGTCCGATTCTGCATTATGAGTACGTAAATGTAGTTATCTTCTGTACCAGGCAGTTTCTGCTTGGTGAATATGAGAGTGTATTTATCAATCATTCCTTGTCAGTATGTGTGTTGGGAGTATGTGAATGAGATTATCAATTTGTACACCTGTCAGATTCTGCTCTGTGAATGAGTGCTGTTATTAATCTGCCTTTGCTCTGTGAACATCCAAATATAGTTATCAATATGGACATGTCAGTTTCTGCTATGCAAATGCATGCATCTATTTTCCAATCTATCCCTGTAAGTTTCTGGTCTATGTAAGTGGATGTTTCAACATTAATACGTCGCTGTAAGTTTCTGGTTTGGTAATGTCTGAATGCCTTTGTCAATATATACGTCAGTTTCTGTGATGTGAATGTGTGAGTACAGTTACCAATTTATGATTGTCAGTTTCTGCTCTGTGAATATGAGAGTGGTGGTTATCATCTGTAGCTGTCAGTTTCTGCTACATGAATGAATAAATGTAGTTGTCAACCTGTTCCTGTCAGTTGTGCTGTGAATGTGTCAGTGTAGCTTTCGGTCTGCATCTGTCAATTTGTGCAAGGTCAATGTGACGTATTATCGATATGTACCTGTGAGTTTCTGTTCTGTGATTATTTGAGTATAGTTATCAAACTGCACTTGAAAATTGTTTTTCTTTCTCTGTGCATATAAGAGTGTAGTTGTAAGTCTTTACCTGTTTGTGCTGTGGGAATGTTTGGGTGCAGTTATTAATATATCCCTGAATGTGTCTGCTTGTAAAAATGCAAACTTATTCATTAAATCATACCTGTCATTTTCAGACATGTGAATATGAAAATGTAGTTATCAGTCTGTAACTGTCAGTTTCTGTTCTGTGAATATGAGAGTGTGTTTATCAATCTGTACCAGTGAGCTTCTATTATATGAATATGACTGTCATTATCAATCTGTACCTTGTCAGTTTCTCCTCAGTGAATATTCGTGTGTAATTATCAGACTATACCTGAAAGTTTCTGCTCTGTGAATTACTAATTAATTAGTTATTACCCTCTGCCCATCAGTTTCTGGTTTGCTGATGTGTGAATGCATTTACCAATCTGTACATGCCAGTTTTTGCAACATGAATGCGTGCATTATCGATTATCGATATGTTCCTGTCAGTAACTCTTCTGTTGATATCAAAGTACAGTTATTGATCTATTCTGTCACTTTCAGCTCCATGAATTTGAAAATGTAGTCATCAAGCCACACCTGTGAAGTTCAGCTATGTGAATACGAATGGTATTATCTCTGAACTATTAATACAGAGAGCCAGGTAATTTTCAAATCATGGCAGATGGTGGAATTTTAATTCAACAATAATCTGAAAATAAGATTTTTCTGCCAATTCTCCTGGAAAAAAAATATCTGGTCCTCTAACATCCTTTTGGGAAATCTGCCATCCTTACCTGGTCTGGCCTACATGTGATTCCAAACCCACAGCAATGTGGTTGGCACTTAATTGCCCTCTGTACAATTAGTGATAGTCAGTGACACACACATCCCATGAATGAATTAAAAAAAGGAAACAATTGGGATTGCAGTTAGCAATCTGTCCCTGCCACTCTCTACTTTGTGAATGTGAGTAAAGTTATCATTCTGTACCTGTCACTTTCTGCAATGCCAGTACATGACTGCAGTTATTAGTGTGTGCCAACTTGTCTCTGTTTGCAATGTCAATATGAGAGAGTCAATCTGTAGCTGTCAGTTGCTGCGATGTGAGTGTAGTCATCAAATTGTTCCTGTCGGTTTCTGCTCTGAATCTGAGTGTAGTTATTAATCGAAACCTGTCAGTTTCTGCAAGGTGAATGTGAGATTTTTGTTCGAATATGTACCTGTGCCTGCCAAATTCTGCTCTGCGAATATGTGAGAGCAGTTATTATGCTATCCCCGTCAGTTTCTGCTCTATAGTTATTAATCTGCACTTGTTAGTTTCTGGTTTGTGAATGTGTGTAATTATCATTCTCTGCCCATCAGTTCCTCTTGTTTGAACATGAGTTTAGTTATCATTCTGTCCCTGTGGACGCTAGGGAACTTGAAGAAATATGTATGGATGTCTTGAAACCAGTCCACATGACAGAAGAGGTGGTGTTAGAGGCGGTTAAAAAAAACACATAAAGGTGGCTAAATTGCCAGGACCCGATTAAGCATATCCCAGGATGTTCTGGGAAGATATATTGATAATTTGAACAAATGACATTCTGTTTTCTTGCTTTTTTTGTAATATTTCATAGGTAGGATCATTCCATCCCTGTTACATATTGCAATATGAATGTGTGACTATCGTTATCAAGTCTGTACTCTCAGTTTCTGCTATGTGAATGTGTGAGTGCAGTTATCAATCTCAGTTTCTGCAACGGTAATGAGAGTGTAATAATCAACCTCTGTCAGTATCTGCTATATCCACATGTGAGTTTAGTTATCAATCTATACCTGTCAGTTTCTGTCTTATGAATGTGTGACTGTCATCAATCTGTCCCTGACAGTTACTGTAACATGCAGGGGTGACTGTAGTTATCAAGTTGTAGTTCTCCGTTACTGCCATGTGAATGAGTGTAGTTGTGCATCTATACCTTCATTTTCTGATGGTGAATGTATGAGTGTAGATTCCATTTCTATGTGTGTCTGTTTTTGCTTGTCAATCTGTGTATAGTTATCATCTGTACTTGTCAGATTCTGCTCTGTGAAAATGTAAGATTAGTTATAAAACTGTACCTATCAATTTATGCAATGTGAAACTGGGAGTATTATTATTAATCTGTTCCTGTCAGTTTT